TTCCTTTATGTTTCATGGAATAATTTGAGGAGTATTAGCATTTGTTTTTCTTTAAAGGTCTGGTAGAATCCAGCTGAGAGTGATTAGTTATCTCTATAYAGTAAGTAGTCATTGATGGTTTTAAATAAAACAGTAACATAATCAAATCTTCCCTTAAGGAATGTAATTTTTGCAACTAAAAAAACAATTATATATGCATTACCTTTTTCCCAACCACTGCATCTCTAGGAATACCTACACAAACATAAAGTGTTATATACACAGGGATATTTACTGAGCATTGTCTGTCAGAGTGATAGGATACCAACAGTCCAAATACCCATTGACAAGCTGAATAAACATGGAAAATTTTATATATATATATATATGAGAGACTGTGTAACAGCAAGAACCAGATAGCCTGATTTATTGCTCTTAAATAAAGTGAAAACACTCCGCATGGGCACAATTCAGCCAAGTTCTTCCCACTTTATAATAAGATTGGCCTTTTTTCCTATTTCTAATACCTTCAGTTTCATTTCCATCTTAGACCTCATCAGAATTACCTTTATCACCCTTATTTTCCTCAACATACGTGACCACTTAAGTCATCTCTAAGAAGTTTCAGGCTCCTGGGCGTGATCGCACACCCTTGGAATTCCAGCAGCTCTGGAGGCTAAGGCAGGAGGATCGCAAGTTCCAATCCACCCTCAACAAACTAGTGAGACCCTATGGCTAATAAAAAAAAAAAATTTCAAAAAAGGGCTGGGCATGTGGCTCAGTGATTGAGTGTCCCTGGTACCAAAAAGAAAAAAAAAAGTTTCAGACTCCCTATAACTCTCTCTTTCTGAGCCCTCGCCAGAATTTCCCTCGTGCTTCATTCACGACTATAAAGGCTCTTCCCAGCATGTACTTCAAACGGTTCCAGCCTCTACCCATCACCTATTCCAAAGCCACTTGCACATTTTCACGTATTTGTTACAGAAGCACCTCTTTCCTCCGGCACCAGTTTTGCTCTTATGTTTTCTGTTTTGTTCTGCTTTAATAGAATACCACAGAGTGGGTAATTCAGAACAAACAGAACCTGCTCAGAGTTCTGTACTCCTGGATCCAGCATCATGGTGCCAGCCTCTGGCAAGGATTTCCTAACTGTGTCATCACATGGCATAGGGTGGAAGCACAAAGAGGGCAAGAGGGAGAAAGGAGCTGAACTCACTCTTGTATCATGGTGTTAGTCCCACTCAGGGTCTGATCCCTTCTTACAGGTCTCACGATTAAATTTATCACAGTGGAATTAAATTTTAACATGAATTTTGGAGGGGACCAATATTCAAACCGTAGCACTCTCACATGTCAGTAAAGACCAGATGGAGAACCTGGACTCCAGACCTCACCCTGAAATMAGAAGTATCTGCCTCTCCAGCTTCCATGGTACCAGAAACGATCCAGACACTTCCTAAAGCAGAAGATAAACAAAACCCAGAGCCTCCTGACRTAATGCCTAGAGTGCCCAGGATACAAATGAAAATACGAACAGCCATCACAGTGGTTGGGTGATTAGCGTATACAGATAACTGAAGTGAATCACAGCAGTTCCATGGGATAGGATGGGCTACAGGGAACACAGTTATAAAGATGCTTACACCATATGTGAAGCAATATAGTTATATTGTTATYACAAGGGGAGTCATAGATTAAAGCATCTATTGCAAAAACCAAATTTTCAAGACGTTTAAATGATGCAGCATGAGACAAGCAAGATCAGATGGATTTGTATAAATGCCAGTTCTGCTTCCTGGTTGCCATGAGATGAGATGCTCTGCTGCACCTGCCTTCTCCCCCATGGTGCTGAGCCTCACCACAGGTCCATGGTCCGAAGCCAGCTGACCATGTGCTGAAACATGAGCCAAAAAGCCTTAACTAAGTTTTTTTAGAGGGAGCAAGTACTGGTGATTGAACTCGGGGGCACTAAACCACTGAGTCACACCCCCAGCCCTATTTTGTATTTTATTTAGAGACAGGGTSTCACTGAGTTGCTTAGTGCCTCCCTTTTGCTGAGGCTGGCTTTGAACTCATGATCCTCCTACCGCAGCCTCCTGAGCCGCTGAGATTACAGGCATGTGCCACCGTATCTGGCTAATTTTTATAAAGTTCTGTTTGTTTGTACAACATAGTTAATTTAAACATTTTCATTGTGGGTGCACATGAAATAAGCRGCAGTAGAAAATAGTTGTTGAGAGTTTTTAAATAGCAAAGTAGGCAGTTTTTCCTTTTAGGAAAAGCAATATTAAATATTAGTTTTCAAAAAATCCATACTTAAAACTATTTAATTCAAGTCACAGAATTTTGCTCAGAGACCCCAATGCAATGCTCAGTTAGCTGCCTAGGATGACCTGTTTGAAAGGACAATATCCCTTCAGAGTATAACTTTACCGATTTGGGCACAGAAAAGAAGTTCTTGAGAACAAGAACATGATTTAAAAATAGGAAGGAAAAACCTAGGAAAAAAAATATCATAAACCAAAACTTTGATGGTGCAGTGAAAGTAATTCTAAGATCAGAATTTATGGCCCTAAATGCWTGCCTTAAAAAAGGTCAATCTTGCCAGGCTTGGTGACGCACACCTATAATCCCAGCGGCTCAGGAGGCTGAAACAGGAGGATTGTGAGTTCAAAGTCAGCCTCAGCAAAAGAAAGGTGCTAATCAACTCAGTGAGACCCTGTCTCTAAATAAAATACAAAATAGGGCAGGGGATGTGGCTCAGTGGTTGAGTGCTCCTGAGTTCAATCCCTGGTACCCGCCCCCCCCCCCCCCCAAAAAAAAGGACAATCTTGAATCAGTGACCTACCTTTTATATCTGAAAATACTAGAAAAAGAAGATCCAATTAAATCTAAATTAGTAGAAGGAAGGAAATAATAGTGATTAGAAAAGAAATAAAGGCAAGGAAAACTAYAGAGAAAAGTAATAAACCAGTAGTTTTTTTTACTTAAGAAGATAYGAAAAATTGACAGACTAGATTGAGAAAGAACACTCAAATTACTGATATCACAAGTGAAAGTGAGAGGTATTGCCAACTGTACAGAAATAAAGTGACCATAAGARAATACTGTGAACAGCTGTATCCCAACAGATTGCATCAGCTGGGTGAGAGGAACACATTCCTAGAAACACAGCATGCGCCAAAACTGAATCATGAAAACAGAAAATCTCTTTTCTAGACCACARGTAGTTTCTAGTACCAATCGCCAGTAAAAGGAGCCAGGATTCCTGGGGAAATGGCTGATTCTAGGATCCAGACAAGGAATGTGAGATGAGCATGGAGCATCTTGTAGATCCAGAAAGTGAGGAAACGCTCAAGAACCAAGATATGTGCATATGACAGAGAACAGAGGAGGAATTCAGTTTGGGGCACTAAATTCTCAGTAGCCCAGACTACAGCAATTTGAGCAACAATAAATTATTGATTTATAACCCAAAGTATAAAATACCCATACTTGAATACTAAGTTAAGTCATTGAATATAAATAAATAATTGGGAAAAGTTGAAAAATCTCCTAAACAGAGTTATCCTACTAATTGATGTAGTTACTGCCCCTTCAGGGAGATAGAGCATAACTCTGCCCYACTTTAGTGGGCTGTGCCCAGTGACTTCCTTCTGGAGAGTACAGTGCGCACAGGGGAGAAGGAGCAAATTTCCAGGGGAGACCTGGCATACGGTTCCTCAGCCAGATGAACAAGGATAACCTCACCAGCCATTAGTGTTGGTAGCATGTACCGTTAATGAAATGTGATAAAAATGGCAGACATTTAATCTGTGGCTTTTCCCCATATATACACGACAACAGTTTAGTTATGAGAAAAACATCAGACAATCTCAAATTGAAGGACTTTTTACAGTGTCCTTGAAACAGTGTTAGGACAATCAAGGCAAGTCTCTTAAAGGCTAGGAAATGTGAGGTAATCCTACTGCCAAATATGAAATAATGAYCTGTTATTCTTATAGGGCTCACCTCATTTGTCTCTCTGTCCTCCTGCCTTTTGTCTTAAGCCTGTATATGGAATATACATTTATTTTTAGATGTCTGATATGGAGAGAGAAATGAATTTATTTTACTATAGATAGAAATGGAAGTCCTCATGAAATCTCCTGTTTAAATCCAAGACATTGACCATTTTAGTATATAATGTTATTTAGGATTGCAGTTCAGAGATTTAAGGAAATTATTTGAGTGTAAGAAAAAAAATGTTTATTGTCACTTTCCCTCCAAAAGGTACAGCAAACACCTTGAATGTGCCATTTTTTTAAGAGAGAGAGTGAGAGAGAGAGAGAGAGAATTTTTAATATTTATTTTTTAGTTCTCGGCGGACACAACATCTTTGTTTGTATGTGTTGCTGAGGATCGAACCCGGGCCGCATGCATGCCAGGCAAGCGCGCTACTACTTGAGCCACATCCCCAGCCCAAAATGTGCCATTTTTTAAGCTGTGCCTTACTGCCAGCACCCTGGGCAGCGGTGGAAATGGAGATCCCTCCAGTGGAATAGGCTGGAGCTAAGAAAAACAGGATGGTGAAATCACCACAGAACACAGAAAGTAGTTTCAAAGGCAAGGTCAGGATGGGCCAGCTGACYAGACAGGTCCAGCTTCCAACAAAGGAACCTGTGCCTGCTCTATTTATATCGGGAGACTTCACAGGCTTTGCAGGAAAGATTTTCACCAAAAAGGATACAGGTGGGGCAGGTGGGCTGCTTAGCTCCTGATGACGGGTCAGTCCCTTCTCTGGTGTRCTGCCTGGGACCTTTCTAGCAGAACAGAGAGAAGGTCACGTGTACTGGGCGGTCCCTCTCCGTGGGAGAGCCACGGGASGTTCCCAGTGCCAGACCTGTCCCTCCCCTGGCTGTGATGCCCAGGGAAGGTCCTAACRCATCACACGGGCGGCTTCCCCCAGTGCTTTTCTTCACACTCAGGAGCACCAGAATCTACGCAGCCTACTCAAGTTCTAAATTATTTCCTACTTACAGGGTTCTGCTTTACCAAACCAGAACTGATCTTCACATTGGAACAAGGAGAAGACCCGTGGTCATTAGAGAAAGAGAAAGGGTTCCTAAACTGGAGCTCCCCGGGTGAGTAACCGAATACTGGCAGAAAACTCACTGAGTAGCTAGGAGGACGCTTACCACTCAGCATATGGCCATACTTGTGGCTAAAAATCAACAGAAAGGATACAGAGGAGAATCCATTTAAAAAGGGCAGGAGGCAGAGTACCAGGAAAAGAGGCACAATCACAGAAACAGGACACAGTGGGTTCCCCTGGCTATGAATTGTAACATGTTGTCTACTCAGAATCCTGATGATTAGGACTAGGAGCCCAGGATTTCTATCATATAGGTACCCKCTATAGTATGTTAAAAGTCTGGGTATTCAGATGGAAAGCACAKGTTCAGGATGAGTCGTAGATGATTCACAGGTTGTGTGGATGATCAGACGGTCTGTGAGTCAGGCAGATGGTTTATAGGCATCTTTATCCATCATGAGTCAAAGTGTGGATGTGTCTGGGTAAGATGGCCCCTCTGAGCA